GCAGGTAAGCTCCGCGCCCCGACGGGGCGGCCCAGGGCTGCGCGCGCCCGGGCGCAGTTGCCTCCCGGTGCCGGCTTTCCCCGCAGCTCTGCGCGGAGTCCGGGAACGGCTGTGTCACAGTTTCCTCCTTCAGTGGTGTCAGTTGAAGGGCTACCCAAGACTGTGCTAAACCTGGCTACCTGGCTTTTAGCCCAGCATTTTCGTGGGCGTTTAGTGGGGGCCGGTAGACAGACGGTAGTTCTACAACACGTGAAGGGCTTTCAGGCGGGACAGATTCGATTTCTAGGCGCCTTTAAGCGGGTGGAAGCTACACTGTCCCCTTAACATGAGGGCGAACTTTCCCAGTAAACCCTCTAAGGTGAGAGGAGGTGCTTTACCCATCACCTGAGGCAGCTGAGCCTGGCTAGAGGATGACCCAGCCGATGCCAAGATGCAGGGAGAATTCAGCACCTGGGGTGAGGAGGGTCCTCTTGAAATCTAAGGACAGCCGCAGGTACTTGTATTTCTATCCATGGCCATTGGCAGATGAGCTCAAAGCCTTTAAACTATCCCACTCATCTTTGTTTTCCCAAATTAAGAAAAAAAGATTTTATTCTCTAAAGTAGCCCACAGCAGCTAAAACACTATTTCCTTAGGGACCAAGAAAAACTAAGTGTGGCCAATGTCCCATTTTTAATTAAGGTGTAGACTCAGATAACGCAACAGACTCTAAGCCAGAGGGCTCACAGGATGGAAACCTATTTCCTCCCAAGTAAGGGCAGGAGGGCAGAAGGGGCCTGAGCTCGGCGGTCATCCATTGACTTAAGTATCTTCTGCCCTGTTGCTCCACCATCCTCTGGAGCCTTGCCTGGTCCATGGTCAGTGCTCAACAGCCACATTCCAGCCCACAGAGGGAGAAAAAGAAAGCTGCTTCTTTAAGGGTAACCCTGAAGTTTTACACAGCACGTCCTCTGCATCCCTTTGGCTGAGAAATACAGTTCCTGGCTGGGCAAAGAGGGAAGTGATGCCCAGCCCAAGTGACAGCTCTGCCATAGCCACCTCCAGCTTCTTGAGTTTGCTGTCACTCACCCCTGCTGGAGAGGGTTCACGGTAGCTTAGGCAGGTTCCAGCAGTGCCCACACTCTGCCCACTCTACCCTACGCACACCCTTTTCTCTTGAACTGCCCGTGACCACACACACCCTCACCTGGGCCTGTAGCTTGCTCGACTATTACCCTTCCTCCCTGCTTGAAACTCTCATCCCTACAATTAGGGACAAAAGTCTTGATGGAACAAGTTCACAATAAGGTGCATATGATTAATGAGTGAATATTTTAGCCTTCACGGAAAATATTTTAATTTTTTAAGCCAAATACATTAATCTCAAATGGCAAACAGGCAATGGGAGATAAGTACAAAAAGTAACGGGCCCTTTCAATGAGCACTTACTGTGTTCAGAGGGCTGGGCTTCTAGTTCTCAGCAATTGTGTTTAAACATGTGGCCCATCACCACCACAACCTTCTTGGGTGGATGTTACAATAATGTGCCATGTTGGGGTCATGGCTCAGCCCCGTCCCCTGAGAACTGGCCCATCCTGAAGACAGATGATTCTGAAGTTTCTGTCTAGGGAAAGGGAGCACCACTGGGCCCACAGGTCCTGCTGCCTCTCTCCCCTTCAACACCCAGCCCCTTCCTGGAATGCACTCTCGCCACGTCACTGCCTCTCCGAGCCCTTACAGAGGTGTAGGGGGTGACTCACCCCGCTTCTGAATAACTCCCTTAGAAGACGTATGTTTATTCCACAAGTCACATCATCTAATCCCAAGGGGAAACTCCTCTGGCAGCTGTGTCTCCCTCAGACTAGTGCTTAGCCGCATAACTTTAGTCTGAGTCCCATTTAAGGCATTTCCTGCCCACATCAGATCTAAGTGTTTTCAAGTCACCTCAGGTGAGATGCCACCCTGAAAATCCCCGGGGCTGAGACACTTTGATGGAACTCAGCCACCTCTGTGTCTTTGCCTTCTGGAAGTCAGCAACGGTACACATGCCCGCCATTGTCTGCTATGGAAATGCGCCTGGAGAAATCCTAAAATCACCCTACCCAGATCCAGTGATACTTCTTTGGTTTTCCCAGGTGTCTGAAGCTCCCTGGCCCCACATGCTGTCTCTGAGGACGAGCTGTGAATATATGAGCATTTCCCACCAGCCTGCTGCCAAAATGGAGGCCGCTGATTCAGATGACTATGTCAATATCTCCTGCCTAGCCCACCCCTCCAGCTATCCCCCTGGGCCCAGAACTCAGTGCCAATGAGTTGTGTTTGTCTCCTGGTTTCCAAAACCTGCTCCGTCTGCTTTTGGAGCCCTCTTTACCTCCCGCATCCCACTGTGAGTCTCGTCCCTATCTGATTGCCCTGAGCAAAGCTCAGCCCCCACAGCTCTTCTTGCACACCTTTGCAAACCCCTGTGGCTTTCAGGTGATTTGGGGACATGCAGAGCATTTGTTCCTATGCCACCTGCTTCCTCTTCAAGCCATGTAACAGGCTGTGGGATTTGCAAACTATCTTTGATCACAGGGTTTTTGCTGCCTTGGCTCTAGAGCATGTGGCACTGGGCTGGAGCATAGGCATAGCTGTTGCTTCTGGAACCCTTCCCAGGCCTGGGCCTCATACCTATAGAAGGCCCCGACGGCACTGTGAGGGCATGCCTCAGCCCTGGGAGCTAGGAAGGGGCCTGGTATGAAACGGCCCTGGCAACGTCTTTGCCCTGACCTTAATTAAGGGTGGCACTTACTAGTAAGCTTTACTCATCTTGTGTCCTATGATAAGGGCAATTCATTGATGTGATGAAGGATTCTAAATTTTCAGAACCATACATATCTCCCTATATCCCTGAATCCTCCTTAAGTTCCCCTTCCTTGATGCTCATAAGGACCTTAACCCCAGCATTTCCCCTCTTTTACAGATAGCTTTATCATCTCTTTACCCTGCTTTCATTCCCCGGCACTGATTTTTGTGCACTTATCTTAATGTCGCTTAGCCACCCGAGCTGCACATCTCTCTGCTTTCAGAAATGCACCTTATCTCTTTGCCAGTTCCAAGCGGTCATGCCAGGTGGGGAGGAAAAGTGGCCTGGGGTTGCTGGAGGGCCAGGTGCTCTGCAATAGCACTTATGTCGTGGGAGATGAGACGTCCCCTTCCCTCCCTATACTGTTACAATTAAGGTTTCTGAGCAAGGGCATGTGCAGACGTATCTTTAGACTGCAGTCAACTCCAAAGGAAAGCCAGAGCCTGAGACCAGAGAGTGGCCAGTCTCGCTGTTAGGAAGGTCTCTCTTTCCCAGACACACAGCTCGGCCTCACCGAGCACTTGTCCGCAGAGGGAAAGGCAAGGCTGCCAGGCTTGAGTTCCCTGCCTCATATTAGCAGGGAATGTCATTGCCGATTGGAGAGCCCATCCAGGCACAATGACACCATCAGCAATGTCAGCTTGACCCCAGCACCCTCTCAGATGGCAGATGGGGAAAGGATGAGTAAGATAAGAAAGGGGGTCCCCCACGGGTAAAGGATGGCGGGAGTGGGGTGGGGAGTGTGGGCAAGAAATGAAATGTTGAGTGAGCTTGCTTTGTGTTGGGCACTCAACACATTTACGTTTCAAACCGGTGCCCCTCGCTCCCACCCCACTGCTCCGTTCCTGGAGATGTCACAACAAGGTGATTTTCATGCCCAAAAGTTCAACTTTATATCCCAGCATCCCTCATTGTTCCTCAACAAAGACAGGCAAAAAAACTCAGTTTATTAGGCCTTTACGGAGCACCGTCGCTGCCCCACGTGGCTCCAAGGATCATGGAAGATAAAAGAGAAGCACAAGGCATTGTCTCTGGCGTCTTCACAGAGCTTAGTCTCACAAAATAAATATAACATCAGTTAAAACACTGACAGGAATTAAATAGAGTTGTAATAAATATGTCTGTAGATTATTCACAGCATCAGAAGGAACCTTCCATGGCTCATGTTGGGGCCACTGAAAGAATGAAGTCTTTGGGCGATAAACTTGGACCAAGAATGGGACCCATGGTCGGGGTGTGAAGTGCCATGAGAACATCACAGGAAGGGACGCTTTTGAAATGACATGGAGGATGAGGAGGGTGTTCTGGTCGAGGCGTTTAGAGCTGGTAGAATTTCTTCATCCAGGTCAGGAGAATGTCCACCTCTCCGAAGGCTTTGGTCTGAGCTGCTTCTATGTCCAACTAGAGGGAAAGAAGAGTTGCAGCTGTGCCATGTCAGCCACAAGCATAGGTGTCCTTCTCCCCCCACCACGCCCAGAACTGGCTGACTCCGCGTCACCGGCGGTATCTCCTTTGGGATGGCCTTTGATGAACTCGGCCACCCATCACTTGTCTCACTTGTCCCTGTCTATGTGTGTTGCCTGCTTCAGGGTTGAGGACAATGGTCAGTGGGTAGCAGCAGGTCAGGAGCAAGGGAGAAGCATCTGGAAGCCCTGACAACAAGAACCATAGAATCCCAGTGGGGATGGATCTGGTCCACCCCTTAGTCCACTTTGCAGACAAGGATACTGAGGCCCAGGTAGCCCCTTGCCTTTGAGTGTTACTGCTCTTCATTTATTTTTAGGCTGATGTATCTGTTCTTTAAAAAAGTGAACAAAATCATATATGTTTGGGGGTGGTTCTGGGGATGAAATTTGGATTTTCTTTGTTGTATTAATTTGGGAGGAGGTAATATATTTTTCCCATGATTTTTTTCTCACAAACTAGACCATTTGAGCATTATGGAAAAAACCGTGTATGGGGGGGTTACAGGGGTAGTCTCCCTTCTTTCTCCCTCACTTCTCACTCCAATCACCCAGGAAAAGTCCTCAGTAGTGAAATCATCTTGTAGGAAACTATAATAGCATTTTAATTTGAAAACTGGCAGGAAAATATCGTATGTAATTTGTGGTGTTTATGCAAAGTAAATACTAATTCAAGTAAATATATCTGTGCTCCTGCTAAGGCAGTGGCTTTGGGGCAAGCCTGGTGGAGTCACCTGCACTGCATTTTGCATTAGGTCTCTGGGGCATCTGACTGTGACAGTTCAAGCAAGCCCTGAGCTCCTGGCCTCGATTACCTGTTTGAATGCTCTGTGGAACAGCAGGAACCGCCTGTGAGCGCTCTCACTGATGGAAAACGTCTTGTTTTCCTGCTGGGTAACAGAAGAAAAGTTGTGCTAAGTGTTGAGGAGGAGCAGCAGCAAGCCCCTCACACTCCTTCACAGTGAAGCCAGAGGGGTCCCAAGGCCCAAGAGGACGCGCTCAGTCCGCGTCCTCACGGAGCCAGTCCTGACTCCCACCACGTGGCAGGGCACCTCTAATTCCCGCAGCGGTCTTGCCAGGTGGGGGCGATCGTCCCATTTTATAGGTAAGAAACCTGAAGGCCAGAGAGGTTAAGCACCTTGCGAAGGGTCAACCAGCCGGTTAGAAGCGGAGCGAGACTTGGACCCAGAACTGCTGGTGTCCAAAGCCTGTGCTCTTTTCCCATGATTCCCTGTTGTGGATTAAAAGCCAGGACCAGATAAGAGGAGGGGAGTCCTCTCAAAACACACCGTTTCCGTGGGCCCTGGTCCCAGCTTCGTTCTACTCACGCTGGGTCGCAGTTTTGACAGGATGACAATAAAATTGTTGGCCAGAGTTGACAGTGACTTCAGGATCCTGAGTTCAGCTGCCTTCCTGGGGTAGTTTTTGAACACGGTGTTCAAGTAGAAGTTCAGCAGGGCCCGGATGAGGTAACAGCTTTCAGCGCCCTGAGGAGGGTCTGGGTCACGGTGGAGCCAAGGCCTCTGCCCACCCTGGCGCTCGATAAACAACCCACATGTCGCAGAGCACAAGAAGAGCACAGAAGAAGCAGGGCTCTTCCAGGAGATGTTGCTAAACATTAGATCTGAAGGAGCCTTCGGGAGCCTGGACAGTGGACCTTTGGTTTCTGGGAGGAACCACAGACCCAGACAGAAGGACTTGCCCAGGGTCACACAGCTAGTCAGGGGCAGACATAGGCCTAGTCCCCAGGGCTCGGGGCAGTATCTGTGTGCTCGCTGACTGACGAGATGGGTGGCGAGAAGACAGAAATGGGTGAGAAAAAGGGATGGGAATGAGAAGAGAACCAAGCACATGCAAAAGAGAAAGACTGATGCCAACTCTCTGACTCATAGAGGCAGACGCTTGCGAGCCTTAATGTCCACCCTCGCCCAGGCCACCACACACAAACCCGCATGACACAGGTCCTGGGTGATTACCCCATGCATTAACTCCTCTGGCTCACTGCCCAGCCCTGCCCTGTGTAGGCCCAGCCCAGGGACAGAGGTGATGCCTTCTGTCAGCCTCCCCAGACAAGCCCTCACCCCCACCCACAGGAGACCAGCCATCATCCTTCCCAAGGAGGTCTGATTACCGAGACGTTCTGCAGAACCTCCCTCCGCAGCAGCCGGACACTCATGATATTATCCTGAGCTTGCTTTGGGAACAGAAAGAAAAGATGCCTTCAGGCTGGGAGGCAGTACAAATACATGCTGCTTCCCCAGACCTCTGAATCCCTCCAGTCTGTGAGTTCTCAGAGGCCAGCGAGGGACTGAGGAAGGGCTGGGCTGAGCTGCCCCCTGGGGTGAAGGTGCAGGTTTCAGCCACAGAAAATCACTAAACTTGGCCCCCAGGGGCAGATGCAATCCCAGGAGTTCTTAGAGCCTTGATCAGGGACCTGTTTGATTTCTTTGGTCGTTTGAGACAGGAGGAAATAACCCTATTTGGTTTAAGGACCACTAAGGGCAGCATTGTACCTCCTTTTTCCATGAGGGTGGGGGGGGTGCTCTTTTTCTCACCCTTGGAGCTTCCCCTAAAGCCCAGACACTCATTCATTTCAGTTCTTGGATTTAGAGTCAAAGAATCATCGAGAGGAAGGAGCTTTCGAGCTCTTTCGTCCCGTATCCTCATTGTGCAAACGAGGAGGGGGTGGAGGTGCTTTATGGGTTGGTTTCGAGGTCAAGATCACACATAGGTGTCCTGTCTCCAGTGCAGCACTCTCCCCTCCCCAGGCTGCCCCATTGAGCCCACTTTCTGCCTTGCCTCTGGATTGTCCTTCAAGGAGTTGAGTGCATCTGTGAAGGCACATATCAGAGCACTCACAGGCCCGGGAGAAATCCACAGTCACATTACACAAGCTGCCCCATCCCACTCAGCATTAACCATTCTTTCCACCTTTAGTCAAAGTGTAAGCAGGTGGTAACAGACTAGCAGGATCCTGGCTAAACAGTAGGTGAAAACTCCAGAA